GCTCAAGCGCCTCGACATCGCCGACATGGGCCAGTGCGACTTCCTCGACCGGCCAGGTACTGCCTGCCCCGGGGAGCGCAGCGGGGTCCAGGGTGGGGGCGCGAGCGGGGTAACAAGGTCCTGGGCGGCTGGGGCCTGGGCAGCTGCAGCCCCAGCCCCAGCCCCAGCCGCCCCTGCCCTCCGCCAGCCCCCGAGGCGCTGATGCAGGCGCTGGAGGACCTGGACTACCTGGCCGCGCTGGACGACGACGGGAACCTGTCAGAGGTCGGCATCATCATGTCCGAGTTCCCGCTGGACCCGCCGCTGGCCAAAGCCCTGGTGGCCGCCTGCGAGTTCGACTGCGTGAACGAGATGCTGACGCTGGCCGCCATGCTCACAGGTGGGGCCGGGCCAGGTTGGGACGGGGCTGCCTTGCTGGCACCGCGCTGACCCTCCCCTGCCCCCCCAGCCGGGCCCTGCTTCCTGCCGGTGCCCACACGCCTGGAGGAGGCCGTGGCTGCACGGCGCCGGGCACTGCTGCACCACGACGGCGACCACTTCACCCTCATCAACATCTTCCACGCCTACCAGCAGCGTGAGTCTCGGCCCCGCCGCGCCCCCGATCCCCCCGCCAACTGCTCCCTTTCCCCCAGGCCCTGCGGCTCCCTCCTGCTCCCGTCGAGGCTCCGTGGACACGGGCCGGCATTCCCCGGGCCAGGGGCCAGAGGGAGCTGGTGGAGCCCCCCGGCCCCAGTGCAGGTGTGGGGCAGGTGGGGGCGGGGGGGCAGCCAGCACCCCGGGGGAGGTGTGCCCCACGCTGACACTGGTCTCCACAGACGGGGCGCATGAGGGCTGGTGCCGCAAGCAGGGGCTGAGCGCAGCGGTGCTGCAGCGAGCGGTGGCGCTGCGGGCCGAGCTGCTGGAGGCCATGCGGCGCATCGAGCTGCCCGTGTCCCCCCCGGCCTTCGGTGCCCCCGGCAACATCTGCAACCTCCAACGCGCCCTCGTCTCCGGCTGCTTCCTCAAGGTGTGCTGGGGGGGCAGCATGAATGGGGGAGGTCTGGGCATCAAGGGGGGCAGCACAAGTGGGGCTGGGCATGGGGGACGCAGGCACAGCCAGGCCCCCTTGACCCCATGCCCCCCCGGAAGGTGGCACGGGACCTGGACGGGGCCGGGAACTACACGATGCTGACGCACCGGCACGTGGCCCAGCTGGCGCCCACGTGCTGCTACCGCCTGCGCCGCCCGCCCCTGCGCCCGCCGCCCTGGCTGCTCTTCCACGACTTCTGCATCTCCCAGGACAACTGCCTGCGCGTCGTCTCCGAGATCCAGCCCCGCCTGTGAGCTGCACCCCGCGGGTGGGCAGCCCGTGCTGGCCTCGGTGC